GAGTTTGCTTCCCCCAAATCAAAGAATGAGTTCTAAGGAACAACAGAGGTTAAGAGGAAGAAATATTTATTGAGAGGTAGTCTAAGAGAGACAGGAGGGGATTCAGGAAGTGGGTTGCCCATAAATGAGCCCACTTTTCAAAGGAAGCTTTATAGAGCAAAATTGCCAGGTGGGTACAAAATCCTGAGGTTGGTATAGCGTGGGACAAAACTATGGACAACCAATAAGATTACAAGTATAGTTGCTTAGGTAAATTGATCCAGTGGGGAAGCAAGTCACTTAGCCAGTGTGTATGGAAAGAACAAAGACCTTTCCTGGAAGGGGAGGGTCAAATAGGTCTTGTTCCCCCACCCAGGTGACAGAAGCCTATTTAAGATATCAGTCATCATTGTTTATCCCTCAGGGAAGGTGTTCCATCTTTTTCTTGAGACCTTTAATAAATGTGCCTCCACCTGCAGTTGTAATGTGTTCTCATCTTCTGCACTGACTTCTCCGAGGGCCTACCCCTGTCTGACTGCTGTACTATTTCTACCTAACTTAGCCGCCTATAATACAACTGTGACAAATGTTTAAATTAAAAAAGTATTTTAAAATAAATACGTAAATAAATAAATTATTACAGTACAAAACACACTGCCATTATTCTTCAAAACACTCCTCACTTTGAACACATTTATCCCGTCATTCTCGTCACTTTGGGAAATGGTTCTGGAAATGCTCGCTTGTGAGTCTCTGGTTTTATTGTGGTGGTTGCCTCATTGCTCTAAATTGATTCAAAATGTCTACCTTTCGTGGTCCTTTTGAGTTCAGGAAAGAGCCTGAGAGACACAGTGCCCGATCTGATGAATAAGGTGAACGAGGACCCACTGCGGTGTGGATGGCGTTGGACAGCAGCATTCGCTGTATTTTTGATCATTTATTATGAAGACACTCGTGACAGAGGACTTCCAGAGCTGCTTCAGAAAGCGGCAAGTGTGTTTGGAGTGAGGGAGAGCATTTTGAGGAAGGTTAATGACAATATGTTTTCTACTGTAATAAATCTTTAAAAATGTAAGTATTCACCATATATTTTGATCACGCTTTATATATTCTTAAGAGTTGAGAGCACATTCTAAGATACTTCTTTATTTTTTATTTTTTATTTTTGGTACTGGGAATCGAACTCATGACCTTAGGCTTGCCAGGCAAGCACTTATGCCGCTGAGCTATGTCCCCGGCCCTCTAAGGTACTTCCATGTATTAACTGATATAATCCTCCAAATAACCCATTCTATTATTCTTAACTACATTTTTAACATATAAAAAGTCTGAGCTCAGACGTGTTAATCATTCAAGGTCACTGAGTAAGTGAAAGACAGGGCTGGGACTGTGAACTGAGCCATCTATTTTTCAACCTCAAATTATTGCTGAGTTTGTCTCTGTCATCTGGGTTCCCAGCTTGCTTCTCAACTCACCTGAAAGGCTACACACTTTTTTCTTTCTTTTTATTATTTTGCTTTTGGTTTTTGAGACAGGGTCTCAGTATGCAGTTCAGGCTGGTCTTGAACTTATTACGTAGTCTAGGGTGACTTTGAACTTGTGGTGATTCTCCTGCCTCAGCATCCTGAATGCTGGTCTAATGAGCCATCATGTTAGCAGCACATTCTTTTCTTAGCTATGCAAATGCATTCCTGGGCCACAAGGGGGACCAGGCCTGGAATCCACTCTGCTCCCTTGAAATGACTTTGTAAATTTTGCAGGGTAGGCTGGTGCATTCCTGTAATCTAAGGAGGCTGAGGCATTGAGTTCGTTTTACATCTAAAATGGTCACCAAAGCCTCCTGTGTTTGGAAGGCGATCCGATTACAGTGAGGAGAACTGTAGCTGGCTTGTTTTTAGGAGGTGGGGTCTGGTGGGAAAAGGCAGTTCAGGAAGTCATCTTTCATGAGTGTCTCCACAATACATGAGATATGATCAACAATACAGTGAATGCTGCTGTCCAGTGCCGTCCAGTGGAAGGGGAGGTTGTCAAAGCACTAGAGTGTGCCTTCATTCACCTTATTTACCACACTGGTGGTGTGACCTGGAAGGGTGTATCTTTCTTCCTGGTTCCTCCCTTCCTTCTGCTTCCTGGCTGCCATGATGTGAGCAGCTTTGCTCCGCTGTGCCCCTCTGCCCTTCCATCCCGCCCTGGAGCCCAGTGATCTTGGACTAAGCCCAAACAAATCTCTCTTCCTTTACATTGCAGGTGGGTGCTGTTGTGCACTGTGTCCCAGTGTGGACAAAGTGACTAAGACATAAACACACAAAGGCCTTTGTGAATCTGGCCTGCTGGCTCAAGGCTTCATGGCACTCCCTAGAGGACAATCGCTTCCCCCTCATTTCCTAGTTATTGTGGCATGCCTCCTCAGGGCACCCAAGTTCTGATAGCAAACACCCACTCTGATCATCAGGGGATCCAAACCGGTCTAGCATTTCAGAGGAGAGATTGTCTAGTGTTTCTCTCTGCACAAAATTTGGAATGCTTCCAGGAAAAGAATTCTGGAATTTGTAGATATTTAGATGCTCTGAGGAACTAGGCTGTTAGAGGAACCCTGATGTGAAGGCTTTTGTTAAATGTAGGGCCAGATTTGTAAATCTAACAGTTTTCCCTCTGCCAGATAAAAACAACGGCTCCCATGTGCTGGTGCTTATCACACACTAGAAACTGTGCAAGGGTGTCACAGCCAACTTCATCCTCTCTTTTTAAATGAAAAATTTATTGGAATATAATTCATATATCCCCCCCAAAAAAAGAAAACAAGCAGACCAGTGGGGCTGGGGATTTAGCTCAGCGGCACAGAGCCTGCCTGACAAGCATGAGGCGTGAGTTGATTCCCAGTACCAGGAAAAAAAAAAAAAAAAAAAAAAAAAAAAAACCAAAAAACAAAAACAAAAACAAAAACAAAAATTTGTATATCGTACTATTCATTCTTTAAAAGTGTACAACTGAGTGTTTTCTGTATATTCATAAGGAGATCTCACCATCACAATTATCTAATTCTGGAACATTGCTATCACCCTAAAAAGAAATTCCTACCAGGGAGCTCATTCTCTCATTTTCTGCCTGCCCGAACCTTGGTTAATCACAAATCTATTTTCTGTCTCCACAGAGGTGCCTATTCTGGATATTTGATGTATCTATATATGTGTTTTATTTATTTACATTTTGAGACAGGATCTTGCTGTGTTGCCCTGACTGGTCTCCAATTTGTGAGCTTAAGTGATCCTCCCACCTTAACCTCTGGAGCAACTGGTATACACCACTGTGCCAACTTGGCCTTTCAGATACACAGAACTGTATGGATTTGGCTTTCCATGGCTGGCTTCATTTACTTAGTATAGTATTACCAAGGCTCATCCACGTGTAAGTACTTTATCCTTTCCTTGACCTTACCTGGTACCAGGCATTGAACACAAAAGTGCTCTACCAGTGAGCGACAGCTGCAGCACTTTCAAACAGTTTTTAAATTTTGAGACAAAGTCTCAGTAGATTGCCCAGGCTGGGTTGAACTTGGAATCTTCCTATCTCAGCCTCTCAAGGAGCTGGTATCACAAGTACGAGCCACTGAGCCCAACGTTTTATTCTATTTAATGACTCAGTATTTTCTATTGCATAGATATGTTACATTTTGTCTACTCATTATAGATGAAGTTATTTCACTGTTTGGCTTCTTTCATCTTTTTTGTTTGTTTTTCAACAGGGTCTCTCTGTGTAGTTCAGGGTGGCCTCCTCTGTCCTCAGATAGCATTTTATTTTATTTAAATTTTGTCTTTTTTGAGACAGGGTCTCATTATGAAGTTCAGGCTGGTTTTTGAACTCACTTTGTAGCCCAGGCTGGCCTCAAACTCGCAATGATCCTCCTGCCTCAGCCTCCCGGAGCGCTGGGATTACAGGCCTGTGACACCCCGTCCGGGTTTCAGATAGCATTTTAAAGGCCACTTCCTTCTACATCCTCCTCCCCTTATTAAGGGAGTTCTTAAAGCATCCTGCATGCTTCCTTCCTTCCCTTACTATCGTCTGTAACTGTCTATTTGTGCTGATTAATGTCTTTTGTCCAAGAACTTTGTCTTGGTTTCTGCTATAGCCTCAATATCAAAGGTCATTTAGGACCATACCAGGCATTCATCAAACATTGATGGAAAACAATGCGACCTATCCTGAACTCTGTTCAGAAAGAGAGTAACCTGTCCAAAAACCACAGATTAGCAGCAAACTTAACCCCAAATCTATTTCTTTCTCTCTCTCTTTTCTTTCTTTGGTGGTGGTGGTATTAAGCACTGAACCCAGCGTCTCACACATGGTAAGCAAACGCTCTACAACTGAGGCACACCCCAGCCCAGAGCCCCTACTTCCCTTCCTACCTCACTGCCCATGCTGGCATCAAATAAGGGGTCCTCCGTCACTGAACGACATCCCTGCTGTTTTATTATTATTATTTATTAATTCGGAGATAGTAGCTTGCTAAATTGCTCAGGCAGGACTAGGATTTGTGATCCTCCTGCATTAGCCTCCCTAAATGCTGGGATTCCAGGTATGTGCCTCTGTGCCCAGCTCAGTATCCTATTTCTAACCTAGGACTCCATCCTTAGCACTGGTAAAGATTTTCGTAATCTGCTCAGCAGATTTTTGAGTGACAGGGAAAGCCCCAGGGAGTAGAATATGGTGAATAGGGGAAAGTGGTATGATTTGGCTCCTTATCTCTGAACACTAATATAGGCATACTATAAAGTGAAGGACTAGGGCAAGAACGAAGTGGAAGGAATGCTACAGGGCTCAAGTCAGCAAAGAGACAGCCCTTGTAAGTCACTATGGCAGCGGAGAGGCAAAGAGGCCACGTCCAGATCCTGCGCAGGCGCAATGGGCGTTTCAGCGCTGCCACTCTCTGCCCGGCTCCCTCCCGCCGGAGTTATTGGACTCCTAAACGGTCAGCTGACGACACTGCGCGGGTCACGTGACGGGGGCAGGGCGTCGGCGCTCCGCGCAGGCGCAGATGTGTGTGGCGGGTCAGCTGATCCGCGGTGCGGTCTCTCGGTTTCAGGCCGCTCGCTTGGCCCTGTGAGCCGCAGCAGCCATGGCTAGCCAGTCGCAAGGAATCCAGCAGCTGCTGCAGGCCGAGAAGCGGGCCGCGGAGAAGGTGTCCGAGGCCCGCAAGCGTGAGTTTCGGGGCGGCCAGGCGTGGCGGGAGGCTGAGGAAGGCGGCTGGGCCGCGGAGGTGGTGGGCGGAGAGACCCGGGAAAGTCGCGGGGGTAGGGGGTGGCGGAGGCGGCGGCTGGCGTGTGAGGGGCGCTCTGCAGTGGAGGCCCTGCAGGGCTTGGGGGGCTCCTGGGAGCCGCGCTGTGGGATAGTAAGTCGGGTGTAGAGCGTTCATCTTGGGTCCGGGAGCCGTGTGAAATGGGCCATTCAAAAGAAACTCTTGCCGGGCGTGGTGGCGCACGCCTGTACTCCCAGCACTCCGGAGGCTGAGGCAGGAGGATCGTTGTAAGTTCGAGGCCAGCCTGGGCTACAAAGTGAGCTCAAGGCCAGCTTGAACTGCATAGCGAGACCCTGTCTCAAAAAGAAAAAAAAGAAACTCTTTGTCTTTTCTCTCCTCCCACTTGGCCCCTGGGACGCTCCCGCCCAGTGAGGGGGCCGTCGTCCAGAGGATCAGACTCGAGATCAGGGGTCTCTGTACTTTCTCGTTCGTTCTGTAACAATAAGTCGACAATGCTTGTACAAGTCTCTTCGTTTTGTTCCCGCCTTTTCCGCCAGCATCATACTGCGGGGCAACTTTTCTGAAGCTCCTGTAGCAACTTGACTCGTTAATTCCTTTCGCGTATGTATTTTTAAATGCGGGAGACAAGTGCCAGCGCAGTGCCAGGTGCATCACCATTGTGGTATCCCACGTCCCAGTGAAGGAAGTAGGTATTGGATAGGCTAATTGTATGTGAGTGGGAAGGCTGGAGTTGAGAAATACAAGATTGCTAAAGAATAGAATGGCCGGGTCTAACCTAGACTGAAGAGTGGAAGGAAACCGGTCTTACTCTCTTCTGCAATCTACTCTTCTCACTGTAGTCAGTAATCCGTATAAAATGCACACATCATGTTTCACCATCTTTACAACATCGTGTTGAGTGCCAGCAGAATAAAACGTCACATTCTTTTAGGGGGAAAGATAGTAGGAGATCAAACGTAGGAGCACTCTTACCTCTTTGCTGCATCCCCTTTTAAAATTTTATTTTTATTACTATTTTTAAATTTTTAGACAGTGTCTTGCTGTTTCCCAGGCGGAACTTAAATTTATAATCCTCCTTCCTCAGCCTCCCTAAAAGCTAGGATTACAGGTGGGCACCATAGCTCTTGATCTCATTGAGTGGGAGAAAGGTTTATTGCATCATGATTTTGTATTTTGTTGTTGTTGTTGTACTGGATATTGAACCCAGGGTCTTTGCATGGAGCTACATCTCCAGCTCTTTTTATTTTTGAAGCAGGGTTTGGTAAACTGCACAGAGTGGGTTGAAATTTGAGATCGTCCTGCCACAGCCTACCAGAGTGCTACGGGGTTACAGGCAAGTGCAGCTACACTCAGTTTAGGCTTTTGCATTCTGCCGGATCTCATTTAAGTACTCTCCAGCCATACTAAATTGTGATTTCTCAAAGGCAACTTCATTTCTTTTACACTGCAAACCTTTTCATTCCATTTCTTTGCATTGGAAGGATTTTTTCTTACAGACCTCCTTTAGGTTCTCTAACCCAGAGTTTTTGAGACCCCTACATTAGGCAGTAGTTCTTCCAAGAAGGCTTTCCTCATTCATCATCCTGACCTCAGACTAGGTTAAGTATCCCTCCTTAGTGTTTATTCCTGTCATTATGGTGCAGGAACCTGCTTGTCTGTATGGCTTAGTCACAAGGTTAGCCTCCTGCAAAGAGGTAGCTTTCTAATTCATGTATCCAGTTTTCCTTCTAATGAAAAAGATGTTTTTACTCTATTTTACAAGTGGGAAAATGAAGCTGAAAGACTTGATTTGACCAGAGCCTGGGAGTCAGCATAGTTGTGGTTTAGAAGCCTCTTTTCCTATGCCAGGGTAAAATACCAGGAAATACTAACCTTAGTAACTCTTGGCTTTTTTTTTTTTTTTAATAAAACTCATGTACCTCCAAGTAGATTTCAAACATGGCCCTGAGAAAGGTCGTAATACTCTTATTTCCTAGCAAAAGCATTTTTCCTGGGTGCAGAGGATGTCAAGAAACCTTTTCTTTTGCTCTGGTGACTCGAAGGTCCTGTATTCTTTGTGGAATATTTCCAGTCATACTCTTGATACAGTAATTCCCGAGTGACTTCCTAGAATTTGTCCAGCGGTGACTCATCAGTGGCAAGCTGTTGGGAAGGACATGGGACTGTTTGGGGGAGGTGCAGCAACAGGTACTTGCGCTAGAGTGAGAGCAATCTGAATTCCTTGAAAGTCATGTTCCCACCTTCCTCTGCCTTGTCAAGCCTGATGCAGGGTCTCATATATCTCAGGTAGCTGTTACTTGTTTGCTGAATGAGTTTGTTTTAAAGGGATTATTAGCTTAGGGCTAATGCACATTTCAGGGTTTTCAGTAAAGTATTCAAATGGCTTTTTGTTCTTTGGTACTGGGAATCGAACTCAGGACCTTACTCTGGCCAGGCAGGCGCTTGTGCCGCTGAGCTATATCCCCGGCCCTGGGAAGAGAAGTATTCAAAAGAGCCACAATTTGAAAAAACTTGTAATTATGCTTGATTTGCCCAGTAAAAATGGAGAGGAGGCAGTGCATGGTGTGATAAAATGGTCAAATCCCAATTTCTCATGAAACCAATGCCTTGCACCTTTAAAAAAGAAGCTGGGTAGTGTGGTACATGCCTGTATAATCCTGGCACTTTCAGAGGCTGAGGCAGGAGGAGTGCAACTTTGAGGCCAAGCCCAGCCTGGAAAATTTAATGACTTAGCAAAACCCTGTGTCAAAATGAGAGAAAAAATAAAGTCAAAAGGGGCTGGCAGTATAGCTCAGTGCTGAGGCCCTGAGTTCAATCCCCAGTACTGCTAAAAAGTATTACGGTTTATTTTATTGGCATGAAACAAAACGTGAGCTCCCATTTGTAAAGATCAAGAAAAACAAGGTTAGAAATGCAAAGGCTGAGCTCGGTGGTATAGTGCCTGCTTACGTAGCATGTGCAAGATTGAGGGTTCAGTCTCAAGCATTGCATGGAAACCTGTCTCTGTGTGTGATCTTCTGTTCAAGTATTTTTTGGTTTTCAGAAAACCCTATGAAAAAACTTTGAAGGTGTTCGCTGAAAGGCAGCAGTGCTGTTCTTAAGTAATTCAGGGAGCTGTGAGAGTTAGGAGTGCTGTGATTCGAAATTATGTGGGGCTGTTGCAGAGGGTTTGGTCTGAATATTGTTTATAGATTGCTGATTTGGAAAATATTTTTGGCATTGAAATATTGGCAAAAAGCTGATGGGACAGTATAACATGTGCAGGGTTGGGGTGCAGGTGGACTAAAGCCAAGACCTTTAGGTTCACAATAGTAGTATCTAAATAAACTTGTACAAGTAGACCTTGGGGTGTTTAGGGAGAGAGATCTGAGCATTGTTTCAGACTGGCCACATGGAATGTTGATGTCATTGCAGGTTCAAAAATCTTTTCTTAATCCTGCAGTGGAAGAGTAAATTCAATTCCTTTTTCCTTTTTGCCCCACTACGGGGAATTTAACCCAGCACTTTGTGCTTTACGACTGAATTACACCTTTAGCCCATTTTTTAAAGTTGTCCAGGCTGGCCTCAAACTTCCAATCCTCCCAAGAGCTGAGATTACAGGCATGTACCATCTTGCCCATTTTAAATTCAATTTCGTTCGTCCACCTTGGTCGAGTAGCTGAATAGCTGATACTTAAAAATGTACAACAGGGGCTGGGGATTTAGCGCAGCAGCACAGCGCCTGACTGGCAAGTGCGAGGTCGTGAGTTTGATTCCCGGTACCAGAAAAAAGACCCCCCCAAAAAAATGTACAACAAAGTTTAGTTTTATGTACAAAATGTCTTTTGCCGTGAATTAAATGAATAGTTAGGTTAATCATGTACCCCCCCCCCCACCCGCTTGGCCTTGTGCGGGCGCCAGTGTGTGTGGGTGCACGCGCTACTATAGGAGATGGAACCCAGGCCTGTGTGTGCCAGGCAGATGCTCTTCCACTGTGCTACATCCGCAGCCACAGGACTCCCTCTTTCTATTTTCTTTGGGTCTCTAAGGAGCTTGGTGAGCAGAGATTCAAAGCAGGGAGTCTGTGTTGGTTGGACTTGTGGTCAGTTTTTATGCAGGCTCTCCCAGAACCAAGAGATCTTTTCCAGCTGTGTATTAAGCTGTGCTTTTGCTCTTTGCTGGAAACCAGACCTGGACCTCCTCACCTCTCAGCTGCCTGTTTAGTATTCCTCCCACTCACCGCTTTATTTACTTCTTGTCATAAGCATGGTTTTTAGTTTCCAGTATTACATCATCTGTTTCATTAGTTACATTTTAGGCATATGTCCCCTGGGAGCACCTCACCGTCCTTGCTAATCTCCTAAGCAGAGCTCCAGTCAGCAGCAGCAGCATACTTAGGTGTGTTTACTTCTTGAGAAGAGGAAGCGTACCCTAGATGCCTGTTACCCATGTCATGTTGGTTCTTTTTAAATTTTGGAACAGCCTTGCTAGGTTGGTGAGCTGGCGTGGAACTTACGACCCTCTTGCCTTGCCTTTCCCTCATGAGCACTATGGTTGTGGGCGTGTACCACCATGCCTGTTTATGTTGCCTCTTAATGGTTGAGGATGAGTGAGTACTCTGACACATTGCATAATTTTTTCATCATTTTTATGGGCTGTAGGTACAAAAACTGTGACTTTTTTTTCTCCATCATACCGCAGATTAAACTTTGGGCTTACTCTTGCTAAGTAAGTACTGTACCACTGAGGTACACATCCCGCCTTGGAAGGCATTCCTTTTATCACTCTGTAGGAGGCAAAACCTCTACCCTTAGTTCTGAATTCCCTTTTTGTTATGTATCTGTCCTAGGACTTCATCTTAAATGTTTTTCTTTATTGTTAAAATTCACCGTCTTTGGTGTCTGCTGGCTTTTCTGCATGTCCTTTAACCACTTCCTCATGATAGCTCTCTTTTTTGAAAACAGGAAAGAACCGGAGACTGAAGCAGGCCAAAGAAGAAGCTCAGGCTGAGATTGAGCAGTACCGCCTGCAGAGGGAGAAAGAGTTCAAGGCCAAGGAAGCTGCGGTAGGCCCTGTTTGTTTTATTGACTCAGTTTTCTGAGCACTGCCCGCCCCCCCCAAAAATAATCCAGCATGGTTTTGCGATTCTTACTCTGGCAGTTTTGAAAGTTGGGTTATTTTATTTTTTTGTGGTGCTGGGGACCAGGCCTTGCATGCTAGCAAGTGCTTTACCACAGAGCCACGCTATCCCGTAGTTGCTGGTTGTTACATGCTTTGTTGGAGGCTGGGGCTGAGTCTCTCAAGATGGTCAGTTTTATGTACTTGTTTTTTTACTAACGTTCAATCCTAGTCTCCTACACAGTTAACATGTACCTGGGTACTGTGTATGCGTGGTGCTGTCCTCACAGGAAGAGACATGGTCCTTGCCTTCGTGGAGCTTAACTGCCAGTTTGGGAGACTCAGTAATAAAATGCAGGTCATGCCCATCCACCAAGAAGTGCTGTGGTGGCTAACAGCTGAAGTAAGACAGAGCCCCGCTTCAGTAAAGTGTGCAGAGCAGCATTCATCACCAGTGTAGGTGCTACAGTGCTCACAGCAGTGGTATAGAGCAGAGCTCGGGCATGCAGAGGGTGCAGGACAGGAAAGGAGGAGGGCTTCCTAGGGAAGGGAAACCCTGTTCAAGCTGGGTTATAATTTATTGGCTCATATAATTAGAAACCCAAGTGAAGACAAAAGTTTGTCTTGATCAGAAGCTTAAATAATGCTCTCAGGACTCTTCTGTCTCACAGCTCTGCATTTGGTTTTATGTCTTGCTGTAGTTTTAGGCACACACCTTGGTCCCCAGCCCTGCTCCAGTGATTGCTGGCACGTGCTTCCCTCCTAGCATCAAGTAGCAAAAGTTTTGATCATCTGTGCACTGCAGGATCACAGAGCCTTTAAAACTTAGAATGTTTCTCTGCCAGGCCAGTAGGGACTGTTAAGTTGTCAACCTGCACACTGATACCCTTGGGTCAAGGCAGCCATTTTCTGTGTGCTGCAGCTGCCAGTAGAGGTAGTGTCAGTGTTGCACTGCAAAGCACACGCGCCGAGATTTTGTTTTCTAGGACTGTTCCTTGGTAACATCTTCAGTTCTGAGACTGCTTCCTGGGGCTTGGTGTATAGTTTATATTCCTAGAACAGAAGCAGTAAGGCTTTTTCCTTCCCTTCCTGGGGGTTGTAGACTTAAAAATTTGAGGTAGCAATTGAGCTCTTATGAAATGCCCAGGCTACTCCTATGTTTGTTATGAACTGTGAAAATACAGTGTGAAGAGCCCTCTCACCTTTGAACTCAAGACTCAGGTTTGAGTCTTGGCACATTCACGTTGCTCTTGGAGCCCATCTGGTTTCTCATCTCTAGAATGTGGAGTGACAACCTCATAGCTCTTCTGAGGATCAGGTAACGCGCAAGATTGCTTTGAAGACTATCATGTTTCCAAATACGAAGGATGTTGTTAGCTTGTGTGAACGTGTGTTCATATGGATGAAACGAGGCACACTCAGGTTGGGCCGTAGTGGATAGTTTCCCTCTCATCTAGGCTTGCAGTTCTCCTCAGAGCTGGTCCCTGTTAGTTCCTGTGTATTCTGATATATTTGAAGCAACAGGTGTTTTCTTTTCTTTTTTTTTTTTTGGTTTTTCTTTAGTTTTTTTCTGGTACCGGGAATCGAACTCATGACCTCACGCTTGCCAGGCAGATGCTATGCCACTGAGCTAAATCCCCAGCCCCTGGTATTTTCTATTTATAAGAACTAAAATATTAACCATTAATGATGAAACTCCTTGTGTATTCCTATTAAACTGTATCCTTCTTGGTTTTATTTTTTCTTTTTGGAACACTAGAAGGGATTGAGCTGTGGACCTTCCTACTGAGCTACATCCTCAGCCATTTTTAAAACTTCCTGTTTTGAGACAGGATCTTACCAAGTCAGTAAATTGCCCTGGTTGGGTTTGAATTTGCAGTCCTCCTGCCTCAGCTATCCAGAGTCCTGGAATAGAAGTGTTTGATTTTTTTTTAAACACTATATACAGTACCTTCTCACTTTTAAAATCACACCAAAATATATAAATGCTAACCACACTGTTACTGTTGTGCATCTTACTTTCCCCCACTTAAACTGCATATTTTATGGTTTCTTTTATATTGCTGAGCAGTTTGTTTTGTTTTGTTTTTTAAGGTGTTGGGAATTGAACCCAGGATCTTGCACTGAGCTCAGTCCCTAGTCCTTTCTTAGTTTTTTTGAGGGAGGGTCTTGCTAAATGGATAAGTTACCCAAGCTAGCTGGGCAAATTTGTGACCCTCCTGCCCCAGTGTCCCAGAGTGCTGGGACTGTAGGTGTGTTCTCCTGTCCCTTGCTCAGGGTATCCTTATGTATAAGAGATTCTGTAATTTGTGTAACCATTCCTCAGTTTTTGAATATTTTATGTTTTTGGATCCCTGGGCTCAAGCCATCCTCTTGCCTCATAAAGGTATGTGGGGTATAGGTGTGTGCCACTGTTTCTGTAGCTGTTGGATTGTTGGATTGATTCCAGCCTTCAGTTAAAGCTAACCATTTGATTCTGGAGTGGTGTATGTCTCTGGGATAATTTTCTAGCAGGTGGACTGCTGTGTACTTTACCTCTGAATCCATTTGGCCCCGTTAACTCTGGAAATGCTTCTCTGCCCACATGAACTTTGGCCACAAGGTGACATTGCCTGCTTCTGATTGGTTCTCACTGATGAACTTGAGGGGCCTCCAAAGTCAGCAAATTACTTGCTGAATGTTCCTGGCCAGTGGGAGCATCTTTCTGATACTCCCTGTGTCTTTGCTTCTCTGCTGCAGGCCTTAGGATCCCGTGGCAGCTGCAGCAGTGAAGTGGAGAAGGAGACCCAGGAGAAGATGGCCATTCTGCAGACCTACTTCCGGCAGAACAGGGAAGAGGTCCTGGATAACCTCTTGGCCTTTGTCTGCGACATCCGGCCAGAAATCCATGAAAACTACCGCATAAATGGATAGAAGAAAGAAGCACCTGTTGTGTGGATTGGCATTGTAGATGCTCTTGTGGAATATGAAGCTTTAGCAAAGTTGGTTTCTATTCTTATGAAATGCATTAAATTATTTCTTAAATTGTATAATAGTTCCTTCACTTTTTGGAGAGTAGCATATCTGGCTTCTTTGGACAAACGTACTTTCTCCAAAGATTTCATCTTTTTACCTCATATTTCTTAGAAATGTAGTAAGTCTGTGTTGTCTGTTTTCCTATACCTTTTAGTTCAAGCAACATGTATATCAGTATTGACTTTTTCTTTCTTAGATTTAGTAGGAAAAAAGAAACAAACAGTTCTTTAAAGAAAGGAAGGGATTAAGTAACTTTTTTCCCTTGTACTTTCTTGAAGGTCAGGGGCTTTATCTATGAAAAAGTAGTAAATAGTTATTTGTAACTTGTGTGAAGCAGCAGCCAGCCTTAAAGTGGTATATTCCGAGGCAGAATTGAAGCAGTGAGTATGAATATACTAGCTTGGGCTGCGCTTAGTTTATTTTAACCAGAATTACTTGATGAGCCAGGTGTGGTGGTACACGCCTGTAATCCCAATACTCTGGAGACTGAGGCAGGAGGCTCTGTAGTTAGAGGTCAGCCTGAGCTACATATAAGAACCAAGCCTGCCTGGACTACACAGTGAGACCCTGTCTCAAAATAAAACAAAAATATTTACTAGATGATAGGACTCAAGAACTTGTTACTTGTTATTTGGTGTACTGATAATCATTTACAAGTAAAAGTAAAGACTATGTCATCCATTTTCACCCTTCTGGTTCATTCTTTTTGATAATGCAAAGTATACTTTGACAAATGCTCTACAGAATTTCACATAGGAAATTACATGTGTCACGTTTGCATACATAATCAGAAAATGTTCAAGGTATACATTTCAGGAGGAAGGAAATGGTTTGTGATTTCACTTGAACTGTTTTTGAAAACAGCAAGCAACCAGGGAGTCGTCTACTTGGCCTTTTCCCTAGAGCACCTTGTGGCGGGGAGCCTTGGGCAAGCTGCTGAGCATTCTTCCTTCCTGGAGGTCGAATGGGGGCCAACTACCTGTACTATCTTTATACTTCTCTCTTAGGTGTCAGTGCCCTGTGGGCCTCCGTAGGCTGACAGTCTTTCTTTGGTTGCAGAATTCATTGCTGGTAGGTAAAAACTGTTGAAAAGAACATTAGGGGTTTTCCTACCTTGTTGTGAAACAGTATGAAACAAGTACATGATTTTTTTTAAAAAAACCCTATTTTGTCTCAGGATGGTCTGCTCTTGGGCCCCTCCTATCTCTGTTATTATTTCACGTCCGCTTTGTACTGTTAAACTGCAGGCTTGCTGTTCCGCTGGAACAGCTTGCCCAGTCAGCAGTGCTGTGCAGGTTGAGAGACCCAGTGCTATTTGACAGTGCTGACCACTCCCTCCTTGGACCATCTACTTTCTTTATGCATGGTTGTGCTTTTTCTTTCAGTCTCCTTCTCTTTGCTCCTCTGCCTTTCTCCAAGTTTTCTTCTTGGACTTCTTTACATTCCTTGGTAAGACCACCTTCATTTCATAGCTTTGAGTATTATCTATTGTTAGCAAAGTTGTTTTTTTTTTTTTCTTCCCAGTACCAGGGATCGAACTCAGAACCTTGTGCTTGCCAGGCAGGCGCTCATGCCACTGAGCTAAATCCCTAGCCCCTACTATCTGTATTGAAAGTCCAAATTTGTATTTCCAGCCCATCTCCTGGGTTGGTTATTTGGTTTTTCCCCTGCTGAATTGGACATTGAACCCAGAGCTGTGGCACTGAGTTACATCCCAGCCCTTATTTTTTATTTTGAGACAGAGTCTCATTAAGTTGATAAATTGCCCAGGCTGAGCTCAAACTTTTGATCCTTCTGCCTCAGCCTCCCACAGTGCTGGTATTACAGCTGTGTGCCATCTTACCTGGCTGCTTGTTTTGATATTTTGGCCTGGATGCCCAGTAAATGTGTCCATCCTTTCCTATCCCAGACTACTCAGTTTTGTTCAGGATTTACTTTTAATATTGGTAAATGTTAGTAGTACCTAACCTTTTTTAAAAAATTTTTTTGTTTTTTTTTCCGGTACCAGGAATCAAACTCACGACCTCGCACATGCCAGGCAGGCACTGTGCCACTGAGCTAAATCCCCAGCCCCAGTAGTACCTAACCTTTACATACTGCCTATACAAGTTGCCCAAACTAGAGGAACACGAAGCAACATCTTCATTGGTTTAGAGCCACCTTCCATTTTTAAATTGTACTGAGAGTGGAACTCACGGCCTTGTAATGCCAGCCAGATGCTCTGCCATGAAGCACATCTCAACCTTTTATTTTTTATTTTTTTCATTTTGAGACAGGTATTCATTGAAGTGTCCCAGGCTGGCCTTCATCTTACGATGCTCCTGCCTCAGCTTCCTGAGTAGCTAGGATTACAGTCATTTGGCATCATACCCAGTTAGTATAATTATTTTTAACCCTGTTGATCCCAATACCCTTACTGTGGATTAATAGGGCTGTGTATGTGTGACTGCTTATCTGAGCCAAGCAGCTCACTGAAGCCAGTGGGAATATTTTAGGAGTGTGGTCAAAGTCACTTGTGAGGACAAGGTAAGATCTGAAAAGTAAAGAGCTTGGTAACGTGGAGTGGAGCCTAAATGGCTCGAATATAAATGGGAGAAAAAAGTGCTGTGGAGAGGAGACCTGGGTAGTGGCTGATGGGCGGATGGTAACGTGTTTTGGGCTGGTGGGAAGGGAATTGGGTGAGGGTGTTTTGAGAGCAGTGAGATCCTAGAGTGGGCGAGGACCTTGAGGCCCAGGGCATGGGTGAAGGGGTCCCTTTAGTCTTGGTCCTGATTGTTCTCGGAGAGCTGGTGAGTACCCAGGTCTCCTGGGCATTTGGGTCTTGGGGCGGGGCAAGGGGATTCTCACGGGAAGGACTTATCAGTCTGTCCTGAGATTTTAGGGTATACAAGGCTAAAACCACCAGAGACGAGCGAGGCAGGTGTATTGGTCCTCTCGGAATAAACTCGATACATAATGCAGAGGAGTTTGTGTGGTTTATTTCCATTTGAGCATAAGAGGATAGGAAGGATATACATATATTTACATTTAATGTAGAGTATAACTGGAAGAAGAAATGGTGAACTGTGAGATCTTGGCCCTCAAGAGGGTTTTTGTTCTAGTATATTTAATCCATCACATGGCCACTAGCAGTGTCTTAGATGCCAGTAAGAGCCCTTCAGTTATGACAACCAAAAATGCCACGGGACATTGTGTTATGTCCTTCAGGTGCCCGAAGTATCCCCAAATTAGAACTACTGTTCTTACAGCAACAAGAAAGGATTATTAAAAATAGATCAGAGCGCTACATATGGTGCTTGGAACATTCTAAGTGCTCAACAAATGTTTCCTGTTTTTGAAATAAAGGTTTATTTCTTGCAAAGCTTGGTATAAGTTGGGTGATTTCAGTGCAGCTGTTCTCTGTGTGGTGACTCGGTGGTTCAGACTGCTTCCAGTTTCTGGCTCTGCCGTCCCATCACATGCTTTCCATGAGTGCACATACAGGAAGAAAAAGCCGGTGAACGTGCACCAATTCTGCTTCAGGCCTGAAACGGCACATGAAACTTGTTCTCAGCCCATTCACCGATGTGGGTCACACGACCCAACCTAACTGCAAGGGAGGCCGAGAGAAGAGCTGTGGACGGTCACTGAAAAAGAAAGTGCTTCTACGATTACCAGCAGTCACTTTCTACATGACAGCTGGTATTCTAATAGCTTATTGTTACCAACTGTTAAATCCTCAGCCCCTCTTTATGGATTTGAGGCAAAGGGGTTAAGGCACCAGCCCAAGGATGCCAGGTAGTGTAACCAAGAGTTTATTTAGCATCTGTACCCTTAACTGCTGTGTGTACAGTGTCAAACATATAACTGTATGTGTTCTATGAATCTTGTGTGATTCTTTCCCCTCTGCTTCCTCCAGTTTTTGAACTGATTGATGTTCCTTAATTGTTCTTTGGGCAAGTTTATAGTTGCCTGCAGTATTGCCTGTTGCAAGCATAGAAAATGACCATTTCATTTGGTGTCATAGCTCAGATTTACTCAAGATCTCCCCGACGGGAGGCATAAAGTAATTTACAGTAAGGCATTGCATAACCTTGTGGGTAACTTACACAACTTTCCTGAGTAGCCACTCCCACTCTGCAGATGGAAGAACACATGTTTTTGTCTTCTCTCCTGAAGATGGAGAACTCAGGACCTTATGCATGCTAGACAAGGGTTCTGCCACTGAGTTAGACCCCTAGCTCTTTGTATTTTAATTTGAGATGGGCGTCTTGCAAAGTTATCCAGGCTGACCTTGAATTTGCAGTCCTCTTGCTTCAGCCTCTTGAGTAGCTGGGGTTTCAGGCATATACCATCACACTGGTCAAAAACAACTTCTGAAAGGCATCCGTGGAAGCTGTATATCTGGTCGGGAAGGCTTGTTATGTTCTGGGCACTTTATGGTATACCATGGCCTCGCAGGTTAGGCATTGCAGTTCCACTCCGTGAACGAGAAAGTTGAGGCCCAGAAGCTTGTATGATGATCACAGTCATAGAACAAAGAAAAGATGCCTGAAGTCAGATCAGCGGCCTGTAGGTTGCACCAGAAACCTACCATGGCTGCGTTAGGCTGTTTCTGACGACCAGGGGCTGGGGTGCTCAGCCTCCTCTAATGGGAAAGCTTCTGGGGCTGGTTGAGTGAGACCTGCAACTTACATTCTCCATTTCTTGGCGCTTAGGCCTTTCTTGCACTCGAGATTGATAGCACCAGAGGTCTACTAGGACTGTCTGATGGGAGGATGTGCTGTGATGAGTTCATGTTCCTCATTTTTCATTTTTTTTCTCTCTCTTTCAAGGACAGTCTGTCAGAAGTCAGAGTGTTTTCCTCTATGTCCCACCACTTCAGTGACACTGGAAGTACTGCAAAAGCTTCCGTCCACACAGGCAGTGCTAGCTTTCCTTTTTCCTCCTTCCCTTTCAAGCAGGCAGGTCTTCGAGGGCTGGGCACATTCTTTATTGACGTATTTGGCCAGTGATCTGGGGAGAGGATGCTGCT